GGTGATGGTGGGCTTAAAATCAAGTCACGGACTTCTTTGGTGACTGAAGGAGAAAGTATAGAACACAAGTCTCTATAGCGAATTCCTTCGGATTTGATATTATGTCTCGTGAAATAATGCTCTAGTTGAGCAAACCACAACTCAGGATCACTACGATCAAATTCTGGAAGTCGGGATTTCGTAGTCATAACAGTGTCTATCTCCACTGGTGACAAATCCTCCAGGTTTTGAGTTTCTATTGAGTCTGACATGAAGTATATGAACAATATAGCAATATACTTTACACGAAAAATGGTTACTACAGCACGAATATCTTAAGATAATAAAAAAACTATGGATAGATATATATACCAGACTATGTTTACGGATAATCAGAAGGTCTACTTTTACGACTAAGTAAAACAAAAAAAATTTATTAATCAAAAATGAAATCAAATATGTGTTTCACAGGGCTCACCAGTTTCGTGCCTTATGGTAACCCTCGCGTTATTAATAGAAGAAAGCAGACTCGTAAGGAAATAGGTCTTTATTTTTATCTTCGCGCAGTCACAGTGGAGCGTGGGGTTCTTTACTCAGACAAACAAAACCTCTCAACAAGCAATATAAGATAGATAGAAATATAACGCCTAAACAAAATAAAGAAGTGAATAAATATCTGAACTATGCTGTTTTGATATATGCTTAGTTGCTTGAGATTAACTCTTGACAACCGACCTATGCTGTTACAAACCCTCTGATCGCATTTCACTCTAGCTACAAGAGCTAGCACGAGTTTAGTCTAATAATTTATCACACCTGTCTGTTCCACCACAAAATGTTAAGTATTGTTTATCGTCCATATCCAAGTGCCTTGCTGCTCCTCGGTTTCTCTGTTTTCTTCCAGAATCATTCGCTGAGGGCACAGCTACGGAACTTCTGACATCTGGAACAAACTCCATGTACGTGTTTTCCTAAAGTCATAGTTCACACCAAGTGCTCTACAAGTCGACTTTATAACAACTATAAACCTAAAAAGTTGCATTGCATAAATACTTAGCACGACCGAATTCCTGACACAATAATGCGGAGATTGGATCTGGCGTGTAACGTGGACGCGATGCTTCTTTGTAGAGTATTTTAAGGACTACTCACTATGTCTGAACTAACGAACTGATATACACTTTTATAGATTATATTTATTTGACATGCATACTGTGAACCATTAAATGTTGTAATTTATGGATTATGTCCCTGAAAATGGCGTTTACCTTCCCTTTCAGAAATATATCCCTGCTCGTCAGCAACGACATGGATCCTTCGAAGTACACTAGGATTAAATCATATTCTCACTTTGACAAAAAAAGTCTACGAACAAATGAGAGGAACATCAATGGGACCACAAATATCAGGACATATTCAGAAGCAGTGATGCAGAGACTTACAGTTACTATATTACTGGCGATCAAACGAAATCTTGGATTCGTTATATAAATGAAAAATGTGATGTCATCAAAGGTGATGAGTTGGAGCAACATATTCGATGATATAAAATTTGCAACAACTTATTGTTCTTCGATGTATTAATCACCAGAATGAACACAAGAAAACTGGAGACACAAGTACATCGGAAGCCGACCCACACAGATCAAACTCTTTATTACATTACGAACAAACGAAGAACTCACAAAATCAATTGTGTAAGAACCTTGTTGAAAATGACAAGAACACACTGGAGCACCTTTGCAGGGTGGAAAAATAAAGAAATATGTCTAATGACTCTCCTTCAAAAATATCAACCCCACTCGTCAGAGAAACGAAGTCGTGTATAGAAACCAACAAATGGATCATCATACCATATATAAAAGACATACCAGAAACTAGAGCGAAATTATTGAAGCCGTTCAGTACAGGTGCAACACACAAACCAGCAATATCAACTCAATAAATCTCAAGCAAATCAAAGAACGAAATGAAAAAGAAAGAACCGAACATCGTCAATTTGTAAAAGACACTGCATTTTTCATCTTCGCCTGAGTAAACATCAATTAAAGGCCAAACGCCATGAAGCATCTTCGTTTATACCAATCAATGTGAAAAACCATGGACATCAATTCGACTAGAAATAATTGAAATTCTGAGTAGAGGGAATACTGAAAACACCGGAGAGTTTTTATAAACTTGGCGCTCAAGTCAATCAGCAACGAACAAACGCATCAAATTGGTCCAATTTACCTACCCATTAGTAAAATCATGGACAAATATGGAATTAAGGGTCAGGACAAAAGGAGATACGGTCAAAATAGAGTGGCAGATGATGAAAGGTTAGAGGTTACCAATAACTTATCACGATCGAGGTTGACAGAACAAGTTGTGAGTCATGACGCGAATTTCAAAAATCCTACGTCTACCTGAAGTTTTGTGCTGATAATGTTGTTCGGAGGAACGATGAAAGCTACACAATCAAACCATCCAACTCATAGAACAAACTCCACCGAAATCGAAATCTATCCTCTTATATTCCTTTTTAGGTTCAGTCCTGGGTCTGAGTCTCGAGTTCGTAGCTGTTAACTGAACGGACGACAGTCTAAACTGAATTACTAGCTTGCTTCTACTTCCTGAAGTCGGTCATGACTTGGAGTTTATAATATTTTTAAGTGACTTAGTTTAGTTCACCAGAGTATTTTAGCCGCAAAATATGTATTCAGTCAAGGAACTAATACGTACACCGGAAACAAAATCATGTACACCAAATACTGTTAACTAATTGCGTACCTAAACTTAAAGGCCATTTTTGTCCGGATACAGGTATGTTTTCAACGCCAATACCAGACACCAGAACCCAAAATAGTAGGAACATTTACCCACGGTTGTGAACAGCTATGAAACTTATGAGTCATCGCAAATTCTACCCACAGATATCCACAATTATTTTTATTTTCGGTGAACTAAGTTAATCCATCCTATCATAAATTTGTGGTAGAACACTCGCGTGCTACAGGACACTCGGAAGTTTTCGGTTGCGTCAGTTAGAAAAGAGATGCTTGTGGATTGCCAGTTGTAAATCATCCTGATTTTGATAATATCTTCGATAGTCACATACAGCAACTCCTTATCAAAACCTCTTGCTATGTTAAATCCTTCGATATTATTGTTTAAATCATTTTGAATAGAATATTGCTATGATCTAGTAGCCTCAAACCTGTCGACATGGCCATTGAAGTTACGTTATTTTTGAAATTCCTATCACTATCATTCGAAAAGTTCCTCCAAATTTATTTACAAACATTTATAGAGTTAGTGCCTTTCATCGTCGTTATGTTTATCGACCTTCAAGACTCAACTGATTAATTTAATTTGCTTCAAATATGAAACTGATTTCTGAATCACTAAGAAAACATACATTTGCAGACTTCTTTTGCAGCTTAGTTCGTGAATTGAAACTAAAAGATAACGGTACTTCAGACTCTTTGGAACAAACGTTCAACACGTGGACATGGGATTAAACTGAAAACTCACGTTAATGATTACTCATCTTAAGAGCGATTTGAGCCACCTTTCGAACGTTATTTAAATTAATAAATAGACACAAATAAAACCCTAGTTCTATTTAGGCGACCTGAAGGAGAGGTGGAAAATTTTTATTATCCAGTCAATATCCAAAGTTTGTTTATATTATTGTCCTTTGATATATCTGACGCTTTCAAGTATTTGCGTGTTCTGTCTTCCAAGCTTACGATTTTAAATGAGTTTCATCAACTGACAATTTCTTAGAAAATGTACTTTTCTGGAAAAAAACAATGAAAGGGATTCCATGTGGAAAGTTATCACTAAGTATTGAGGTCAGATCAGTTTAGGTCCCTTTGAATAACAAGAAAAATTTGGTTTGGCTCATCTCTCATTAGTTGACAACTTGAATACTCTGAGAGTATTCTGATTAATCTTCTTTAAACATTGGGTGTGTCGCAATCCAACTTAACTGATATTAACTTCTGAGTATCTGTGCAGCACGAAATGCGGCCCTGTTTAACAAGTATTTACTCGTTCCTTGAAGGTCGATAAGGATCTTTGTCCACTTTAAATCATTATTCGGCATCTTTCAAATGTCAGAAAGCGGTGCAAAAAGAACTAATGAATTCGGTAGAAAAGTCTGTTTCACAAAAATTGTTGATCGATAACAAGCCTGATAACGTCAGGATGTGGGTATAGACATTCACACAAAATGGAAGGTCACATATCCTCACAAATACAGCATTACTTGTTCTCTTTCTCTAAAACTATAAGTCGAGGGACTTTATGGGAAGCTCTTCATAAGTCTGTAGCGTGGAGTCGAATCGTGCTTGATTATGAACACCGCTACAAGACTACGTGCCAATTAACCAATAAAATCCCCGTAGGCCAATATCAGAAGACAGATGATGGCTGTAGTCGAGATGTATTTGTTGGCGATCTCGTGGTATCGAAAGAATACCGAGATCGTGCCAAAGGAGCACAAGCGTGGTTACTAGACGTAACCGGATTCGTACAAGTTCAAAGTCAACGGGAGAGTAAGTGTAAAGGCTGTCATTAATACGGTTAAACAAACGAGCACGGCAAAACAATCACTGGTACAATTGGTTATAATAATTATTGTTTTCATCGAATCAATCGCGTTCTGTTGACAAAAGTAGGTCACTACAAGTCCATGAAGGTTACGTCCGTCTCGCACGTAGAGATCGTTGGTCGATTGATTTTTGCCACGGGCACTCAAATAACTACCAAACTCACTACAGCTAGTGAGTTAGGGTTGGCAAGTAGTAAGCTTAAAATTTTTGAAAGCTCTAGAACCATCTCCTATCACCAAGGTGTGAAGTCAAAGAAAACAATTGGTTACTACTAAACTGTCACAAAGATATCCAGCACACTGTATGTTAGATAAGAATGGCCATCAACCAAAGACTCTGCAATTCTGTTTACAATTATTTAAGCTATCTGAGATAAACTGTTATAGAGATCAATGATACAAAGTTCAGGTATTCTGGTACATACTAATTGAAACGTTGGACTGGAAGAGCTTGTTACAAATATCTGAACTGTCAGCTGATAGATTTTAGCGTATTTTAAATCAAATGAGCTCATGGGCTGGTATGATCGCTACTTCGATTTGTCTATTGCGTGTTATAACATTTAATTCTTACCCTTAGTTACTCGAAGAGATGAAACGCAAGAAGCTGATTATGGATCAATGCATCTGAATGAAACACCCTGTCTATACGTACGTCTGTTAAACCTAACAGTAATATTTAGTATTATTAAAAAGTCTATTTATTTCTTTTGTTTTCATTTAAGTATTTCAACGAAGTTCTTGGCAGTCGGATTTTACTGTTTTATTATCAAACTACTTCCACCCATTCCGTTAAAACGGTATACCTTCCGATTAGATACACAAAAACATGTAAGAGTATAGCTGTGATTATATGTCTGGACAAAAATCCTAGATATTAATTTATGCGTTCGGAACCTCCATACACATGAGTTTCGGTTGTAATTCGGTTAAGCTATCAGTCTGATTGATACAGCTTTCAACCTGATAATGAAACTTGTGGTGTCCAGGTTGCATTATGCCTCGAATAATATAACAGTCTTAATATTTCTAAGCTCAACATCTGTTTCTTAGAGACCTGATTTAAGCCTCGTCTCTGCAATGAAGCGTGATGTTATTTTGTGATTTGTTTGTATACAATATCGAATAACGTCTTTCCAACGTTTATCATCCCACACTTTCGGAACTTCATGCTTCATCTTAAACTATTTCAGTTAATTTTTGGAAGAAGCCATGCTTAACTCCATTAACTATGTTTTATTCGTTTAATTGACGTCATGTTCAACTCATTTTGGGACAGTAAGCTCTTCCTGTGTATTAGAATAATTAATTCAGTGATGCAATTCACTGAGCTTAAATGACGTACTCGATTCTCGTCCACAGCACGTAAATACCGTTGGTGCTGCCGAAATACTCGAATTGGAGTAACTTACATAAGGTTCCAACCTGTGGTCATCTAGTTTAGTTTATTGTGCTCCAAGAACTATCTTCCATTATCCTAAAGTAGTTGAAACAGGGATTCTGCTGAAGATATTGCATATAAGCCTTCTCATACCTTACTAGAAACATAGACTAATTGTTAGCTTTCGACGTTCATGCATTCGTTGACGTACCGTAACTGGCGAGTCGTTTGTAAATCTTCCTGAAAGACCTTTGTTGCTAAAGGAAAGTGCGTCAATGTATATATACTTGTCTGTGTATAGTGTTTATTTTATTTATTTATTTGAACACATAAATATTGGTACAAGAAGGCACCAAATATATATGCGCCACAAAAAATTTTATTTGTGTGTGGGCTGTGATACTGCTCGGGTGCCCAGACCGAAGCAGGTAGTTTTCTTAGGGGGCCACACCCCGAGCCTTTGACCTGAAGATCTGATCCACAAGGCAGTGGAGCATCGTGAGGAGATGCAGTCCCATGGTAGCCGGTGACCAACGATTGGTTCATACGCCATTTGTTCCCTCAGGATACTGGAGCCCATGTGCACCATTGGTTTGGATCCGGTTATAGCGCCGGACATTCGCTTTTCGTCCTCTCATTTTTGTAAACAATAGTGTTTAGCTTTCTATATAGGACCATAAGTATTATCATTTATTTATCAGCTGGATTCTTTTATCATGTTTATATAGAATTTTAAAATTGATATTACTCAGTAATTGCACTATATAGACTGAAGGTATTTTGCTGAAAATAAGTATCTGCTTAGTAGAGGACTTCGGTCAGTTGCTTGATAGTATTGTAATTCCATATTATCTCGAATAAACTAACCAATCGATCTAATTGAATATGTTACATAATGAGCTTCGTTCATATGAGTTAACTATCGATGGTAGACACATTCGGAATCCTCTGGTATTTACTTCGTACACTTATTTTTCTAACAAAAGTTCAATTTGATAGCACGATAGCTTATCTATTTTCACTATGTGGTCATAAGGTTTAGTCATTTCGTTCTGAGAGTATTCAGTTTTCGTAAAATTAATTTTATCTGATTAAATGTAGAGGTGGGTGCCATGGAGGTGCTTAAATTTGGTTCTGTCTAAGACTACTAACTATCCATCATGTAATCTTCTCAGGGATGTGGTAGTAAATCGTACTGTCGAAGTTCGTTTGGGTTAGGCAGATTTTGCAGGAACCTAAGAGATTTCTCGTTGCCCTTTATCCCTCAGAGATTGACGTCTAAATGCATTAAATATATCTTATTATTTTTGTCTGTCGAATAATTTAGTGCCTGTAGTTAGCAGTTTTATGCGGTCTCAAGGGCAATTGTTTGTTAAACTTTGCTACATGCGGTTATAACCCTCAGTTTTTTAAAACTCTGTAACAGAAAATAATTATTCAATGTTTTCTCACAAATCGCTTATTCCTCTGAAGGATAACAAAAATATTGTTCATCTCTTCTGTTTTCTAAGGGTTCTATTCCAAATGTGTTTGGAATCGTATTTAGCGAATTCAATGTATAATTCGTTGGAGTTATCAATAAAAGTGTTGCGGGTACTTTACATCTGTACAAAATATTATATGCATACAATTGTGCAGCAGAAGTGATCATACTGAGGCTTTGAACGTACATTCACTGTTCGGTGAACGCATTTCCTGTAGCATCTGTGGTTAGGTTAAATGTTATTGGGAAAAAGCATAACTTATGCTTTAGTATTTGTTCCTGATTGGATTATTTGTATTTTATTTTATGTGAGTATTATCATAAAAATAGAAAACTGACGTAAGTGAAATTCTTCGCTTGTGACGTAATATGTCTCGTCACTATCCTCAATATTCGGTGTTACGCATTTGCCATAAAAGAATTTGTTATTGGGTAATTAGTTATTAGTCATTTTTTCATTATGGTAATAACTACTAACGATCTCTCCTGACTTTGTTAACATCAAATGATGGCCAAAATTCGTCTTTTTTTCTAAGCAGCTGATACTTACTTAGAAGGACAATCTGTAAAAGGTGTTCGTTATCATCTATTTGTTTGAACACATGAACATTGGTACAAGGGGGCACCATATACATATGCGCCACACAATAGCAATGAGGTTATGAAGAAATATAGAATATTAGGTGCGTATAATATAAAAAAAAGAACAATAAACATAAATTAGTATACGGAAGTAAAATAATAATCATAATCGTAGAAACAGTCTGGTTAGGAAAAATACAGCCAGAAAGAATCCTTTCATTTAGAGATGTTACGTTCACTTTTATGAAGAAAGTAAAAGAGTTACAACAGAATCGCCACTGGCTCCCATTCTGAGACATATTTGATAACGTCTCTAACCATTGTGTTGTATGATCTCTAGGACCCAACTAGGGAGTCGCGAAAGACCAAGAGAAGCCAGTCTTGTACATCCTTCTTTCTTGTCACGACACCATGTCATACACTGACCACCTCTCCGCCTTTTCCAACCAGTCCCAGAGTCGGCAAATAATGCACGACGTGGAATTCTGTGGTGTGACATTTGTAAGACATGTTCAAGCCACCGAAGTCAATGTTTCAAGATAGTGACACCGATTGAATTATCGTCGCTGCTCCAAAACAGACGATACCGGACTTCTGCATTACTAACAGGGTGTCGCCACTGGATGTCAGCAATCCTTCGAAGACAACGATGATCAAACACAGAGTCGTCTACTATCTTCAACTCGGAGAAGCCAGGTTTCACAAGCATAGACCAAAACTCTTCTCACCAACGCGTAGTAGATCTGAACATTTACAGCCATACTAACGTCACGAAGGCACATCGGGGATGACTGTGCCGGTTGCTGGTGCTAACCAAAAGCAGGTTGTATTCTGCGCACATTTTCAGTATACAGTCACCGTTATCTGACCTGCGACCGAAAAGTCCTCGTTGGCCACCTAAACGGCTCTTCTGTGCCCGCTTTGAGCATTCAAGTTTCCGGCTAGTACTACCATATCTGTCAAACGCACTTTCTATAAAAGAACTATTAACTGGAGGTAAAGCTCATCCTTGATCTCATCCGGGCTGCAATCCGTCTGAGCTTAGGCGGAGATGACGAAAAGACATTGTTTCTCATACCGATTTCTTCTTACTTTGATGGAACTTCCTAATCTGATAGCACATCACCGACTGTTAATAGGAATCCAATTGAACAGTGCTGCCTCGGTTCTAGCGCTCAGTGTGAAGCAAAACCAGATAAAGATACCACAGGGTCCACAGACAAACGCACGTGAAACAAGCTTTTTGAAGCGACAGATGGAGAGCAAAATCGTGCTGCTTCGCTACAGTCTTGAATACGGGTCTTGGATAGACGACAGACATTGATGTTGAGACTTTCTAAAGATATAGAAAACCGTATCTGTTGTCCTATTTACATTAGTATGCGAACGTTGAAGGAGGTGAGTTTAAATGGTAAATGTGGTTTCAAAAAGACTGGTTTAGTATTCGTAGTCGGCGGTGGCATTCAACTTTCAACCAGTCACTGATTGAGATCGTTTAGATAGGACGGGGTTTCTACCGTCTGTGAGCTTCTGTATAGTTGAAAAATGAAAGAATACACAAAATGAGGATAAAGCAGAGTAGATAAGTGACGTGGTATAAAAGAAATACAAACGAATGTTATCAAATGACTGTGAATACGATTTGACTGAAGGAGAGTTAAAGCAATAGTAATTTTTTTCAGTAGTAATTATCATTTGGTTTGTGTGTGGGTTGGGATACTACCCGAATGCCCAAACCGAAGCAGTTGGTTTTCTTAGATGTCCATACTTCGAACCTTTGACCTAAAGGTCTAATCTACGAGACGGTGGAGCAACGTTAGGAGATGCAGTCCCATAGGAGCTGATGACCAACAATAGGTTCATACGTCATTTGTTCCCTGAGGATCCTGGAGTCCATGTGCACCATTGGTTCGGAAGCAGGGTTTTCCGAATCCCGTGGTTGGATCCTCTATATCCATCGACTTGGTTAAACCGCTGTGTATTTGTTTTCCTTTTCGATTTTGTGAAAAACACCCCTTCCGAGAGAAAGTAATGAGTAAGGCCTTTGTGGCAGTGGCTGTATACGCGTGGCCATGTGAGAGCACTTCGAGAGGGAGAGCTGACTCTCCTCACCCTCCTCCCTACCAGGCACTATGTGGTTTAGAAACACCATTTTAGTCATACATTAGCAATACTCTTCACACATAAAGTTCTGTTTTGAAATCACAGTGACGACGTCACCGTCTGAAATCTACTGATTTTCTTGTTTAGTTCAGTAGTGTCAAATAACCGTGTTTTCAAGAATTGATATATCCATTCAACTTTTAAATATTGCACTGTAACTGGCGTGATTCACGACTGACATTTTAACATAGTCAAAACAGTGTAATTTACAATATATTTACTTCATGTCCTTCTTTTTGTATTTGCCAGTTACAAAACGGCTTCAAAATATTACACTGACTATTTCCATCCATGTAACAAAGTTTTCGGAATTCTGTACGATTGAAGGAAATCAAAATTTCCTGGATTAAAACGACCGTACTATTGTTAAGTTATTCCCTTCTGATGATTCATAATGTTTTGCTTGAAACATATAGACATTGAACGCGATATTTGTTACAAGATATACATATATATTCTGGAGCATACATGCTCCTCTTCGTGTGTTAGTACTTCAGTTTATATCTTGTCTAAGGAAGTAACGCCAGATTATGAAATTAAGACATAGACGGACATATATCATTTTATAGATTTATCTTAATGTTATTATGTTTCTCACTTTCTAAAGTGATAAGCCTTACTATAGCCATAATCTGTGGTTAGAGGTTAAGTTTTATGGCTCAAATTTAGTTACTGGATAAAATGATATGAACAATTCATTTCCTCGTAAATTTTAAACATGGTATTGTTTCATATCTTTCATTTATTCTAAATTGGGATTTTCATATTCCGTTTTCCGATTTGTCGTATTTTCTGTTTAACTCTATTATTATGGTGACTCCATCTTTGTTTGATAGTGTAAAAACTAATAGCATGGATCCATACCTATTTAGTTCAAGTATCTATACATATTTATTTTCTGCTAACTTTCAGCTACTATAATCTTAGTCTTTATTATCTGATACTTGTCATCATTTTGTATTGTAAAAGGTAATTACTTTCTAGTATCCATATTTTGTTTGTGCTTCTCAACAGTTTCTTTCGTTTTGTTAGCCTTATACTCAAAATGCATAAAATGATCGTTGTGGTTTTAAGCGAACAAAAATTATGTCACACTTCGGGATTAACTCAAACTTATTAAAGCTTCAATTCATATGTGGTTTTTTTCTCATACGTCAGACTTATAGTACAGTATACTTCTACATGTCTATTTAGTATCTTTGCAAATCTGAGTTATACTTAAAATTAATTTATGCTCAGTAGTTTAACATTAGCTCTTATTTTAACAAACTCTGAATGTAGTCCTAATCCTTTTGTAAATTCAACTACAAATTTGTAAATCATAGTGATTTTCTATCTGATAATGATAACAATCCACTAGATATATTATGCAACCATTTTATTATTTGTGATTGTTCACTTTATGTTGTCCACATTAACTATAAAATACTTCAAGGGTGAATAATCCTCAGTAAATTAATTGTTCTATGATTCCAAATGATTTGTTTAAAAAAAGATATCAAAGCTTATGTGTGGATGTAAGTACTAATCAAGATCGTGTGCTGATTTCACATAATTTCAGGATTAAATAAATATTTTATATTTTACTGCAAATATTTATCCATATTTGCCCGTATGTAGCATTTTTATGTTTTTATTATTCTCTTGTGTTGAGTAATACTCTTTTCATGTTATCAACCTATTATCCCTGTGTATCCATTTCGTCTCTCAGTCTGTTATTCTCCTTCATACTCTGTTATAATACTTAGTCTAAAAATCTTACGACCACGATCACCATCATAAACATTAGTACAAGGAGGCACCAAATAAATATACGCCACATAAATCGTTCGATTTGTATGGGGGCTGTGATACTGTCTGGGTACCCAAACCGAAGCAGTTGGTTTTCTTAGATGTCCATACTTCGAACCTTTGACCTAAAGGTCTAATCTACGAGACGGTGGAGCAACGTTAGGAGATGCAGTCCCATAGGAGCTGATGACCAACAATAGGTTCATACGTCATTTGTTCCCTGAGGATCCTGGAGTCCATGTGCACCATTGGTTCGGAAGCAGGGTTTTCCGAATCCCGTGGTTGGATCCTCTATATCCATCGACTTGGTTAAACCGCTGTGTATTTGTTTTCCTTTTCGATTTTGTGAAAAACACCCCTTCCGAGAGAAAGTAATGAGTAAGGCCTTTGTGGCAGTGGCTGTATACGCGTGGCCATGTGAGAGCACTTCGAGAGGGAGAGCTGACTCTCCTCACCCTCGGCCCTTCCAGGGTATTTGGGGGCATGCATTCTTTAGTATTCTGAAGTAACTAGTACTTGATATTGCTACAATATATATTCATATTGTTTTAGACCAAATATGCTCTTTAACTGTTATGTGTATATACTATAAGGGGATCACTTTTTGCACATTATTACTTATGACAGTATCACCGCAAGACGTGATTATGGTATATTTCTTGGTATGGGATGATATTCTGAGTGATATTCATCCATACATATCTGTAATGTTTTTCTCATTTATCGGCTTATGAGGGTATTCTTAAGAATTACTAAGGCTAACTCATAAAGCCTCTCATGTTTGTTTCGAATAGCTTAACTATTACTCAGTACTGTTAAACATTTCATTATGGCTCTGAAAAAGCGAAATCATACTTTTTTAGCGTTTGACATCTGGATTTTCTGGCTGTTCTGCTCAGTCCATTGCTACTCGATGGATTGAAAGGAGTTTCGAACTAAATAATATGACTTTAACGGATTATCAACGACGTGTTCAAGAAATTCGACGTTCAGTTCGTCAAGGTATCGATTCAGCAGCAACATGCACAGATGGTGAGTCTCTTAGGATTTATTGTACTAATATATTTATTTCTCAGCATTAATGACTGTTTCAGAAGTTTATTCACTTGTCATCTACTACTTTGTTTTAAAGCAAGTTTGTCACTAGAGACTTTAAAACAGAAAATCACTTCTTTTCTTCTTTCAAATGGCATATTTCTTTGCGTAGTAGACCTGTATATGGCTATTCCAAAATACTCACAATTTAGTTCACTGTGCGAGAAAATACTTAAGGTTAGATGCTCTTAAATATATTTATAAATTGTTTATCAAAGCTGTCGTTGGTTTGTGTTAAGTTTCTTAACATTTTTTACTCCATGATATCAGATTCTTAATCAAATTTCGAGTCAGTCAGTAACAACGTAGAACTTCGTACCTACGTACATTAGTTCGAATTACCATACCACAGCACAGAGATGCACTTGTCGATTCGAATCTCGTAGTGGTAGAGGTAGTAAGAGTATAATCAGTAATCGGAAGTATTAGGGTTTGAGGATGTTATTTGAGGAGTATAGTGAAATAAATTTGGAAAGAGCAAAAAGGGACATGAAGAATTCGAGAGAACACAGAGAGTGGATGCACCTGCGCCATTGCAAACGATTTTGAACCATGTCATTCAAGGTCTCTAACCATCGGTTGCTATCATCTCGCGGTCCCCAACCAGGTAGTCTACACCTACCAACATCGTTTAGTCCACTTGTCAGTGACTCCATAGATTTGTGCCACGTTTTGGTATGGCCGCCTCTAGCTTTCTTCCAACCTACTCATACACCATAAAACGTCGCACGTCGGGGCAGTCGGTGATTAGGCATACGTAACACGTGTCCCGCCCCCAAATGCCCTGGTACGGCCGAGAGTGGGGGGAGTCCGCTCCCCCTCTCGAAATGCTCTCATATGGCCACGCGTATACAGCCCCTGCCAGGGAAGTCCTACTCACTGCCTTCTCGTGGCGGGGGTGTTGTTTACAAAAATGAGAGGACGAAAAGCGAATGTCCGGCGCTATAACCGGATCCCAAACCAATGGTGCACATGGGCTCCAGTATCCTAAAGGAACAAATGGCGTATGAACCAATCGTTGGTCACCGGCTACCATGGGACTGCATCTCCTCACGATGCTCCACTGCCTTGTGGATCAGATCTTCAGGTCGAAGGCTCGGGGTGTGGCCCCCTAAGAAAACCACCTGCTTCGGTTTGGGCACCCGGGCAGTATCACAGCCCTCACACATATCAAATGAGATCTGTGTGGCGCATATGTATTTGGTGCCTTCTTGTACCGATATTTATGTGTTAAAATAATAGTAATAATAATAATAATAATAATAATAATAATAATAACACGTGTCCCAGCCATCTCAACTGATGATGTCTCACTACTTCATCAATTGATTTGCCATCCTTACCTAGTACCCGTTTCCTAACAATTGCATTACTTACTCGGTCAGTCAGTCAGTCAGTCAGCTGCAACGTAGGACCAGGCACGTATATGCATCGGTCCAAGTTGCCATACCGCATTAGCACAACAAGATGAACACCGGATTCATAGGAGTAGTTAATTCAGTGGTGGTAATATATAGAAGAAAGAGTGTGTATAAGGAGATAGTAAAGGAAGAAAGAATTAGTTCCTAGACAGATATGAAGCGATTTTAATCTCTTAATTTAAGGAAGACAGAGAGTGTATACACCGACGCCATTGTGATCGATTCTGAGCCATGTCACCAAGAGTCTCCAACCATTGGTTACGATAGTCACGCGGACCCCAACCAGGCAGTCTGAATCTCTCAACATGGCTCAGACCAGAAGTTAGTGACTTCAAGCACTGATGCCACGTTTTGGTTTGGCCGCCCCTAACTTTCTTCCAATTATCCCCTGCACTAGTCAGCATTGCGCGTCGTGGTAATCGGTGTTCAGGCATACGCAACACGTGGCCCAACCATCTCAGTCGATGAAGATTCATAACCTCATCAACTGATTTACCATCATTCCCTAATACCCTGCGTCTAACCTCACTATTACTTACCCGGTGATCCCAGCAGATACCCGCAATATTTCTAAGGCACCTGTGGTCAAATACTAGTAACTTACGAATATCTTCCACTCTTAAAGGCCATGTTTCGCAGCCGTATAGAAGGACGGAACGAACTGCCGCGCAGTATACTCGTCCCTTAATTGATAGACGGATATCTCGCCTTCGCCATAGATGACGTAAGTTGGCAAAGGCCAAGCGAGCTTTTCGAATCCGTGCTGAGATTTCGTCAGACACCAACCCATTAGGGCTGATCAGACTTCCAAGACAAGTGAAGTTGTCAACGCGTTCGACTACTTCACCCCCTATCCTTAGTTCGGGTGTTGACGCAGACCAGTCCTGAAGCAACAACTTGCATTTAGAGGGAGAAAAGCGCATCCCAAACATTCTAGCATTGTTGCTCAGTGCTACCAAAAGACTCTGCATTTCATCAGCGTCTTCACCAAACAGGACTATGTCATCTGCGTATTCTAAGTCAATAAGTGGACCTCCTGGTAGGAGATCAATACCCGAGAAGTCAGTCGATGAGAGCGTTATTTCCATCAGGATGTCTATGATAAAGTTAAACAAAAAAGGAGAAAGTGGACAGCCTTGACGGACGCCACTTGAGGTTGCAAAAGCAGATGACAGTTCGCCATAGGCTCTGACCCGACTAGTAGTGTTCGAGTAAAGAGCCTTCACAAGGTTTATGTACTTCTGAGGTACCCCTTTCAATGACAGACACTGCCACAGAACCTCTCGGTCAACAGAGTCAAACGCTGCTTTTAAGTCAAGGAATACCACCATTGTCGGACGCCGATAAGTATGCCTGTGTTCTAGAACCTGACGAATGGTGAATATGTGGTCGATGCAGCCACGACCAGGTCTGAAGCCAGCCTGATTTTCACGTGTTTTCAGTTCACGAGTCTTAGTTAGGCGTCCGAAAATTATCGAAGCTAGTATTTTAGATACTATATTAGTCAAACTAATCCCTCTGTGGTTGTCACAGGATGATTTTGACCCTTTCTTAAATATTGGGACGATAAGTGATTGTGACCAGTTAGATGGAATAACGTCTAACTCCCAGATTTTAGCTAAAATATTAGTCAACCTAATCGCTAAGACTAGACCACCATCCTTAAAGACCTCTGGGGCCAATCCATCTGGACCAGCTGCCCTTCCTCGTTTCAGATTAGCTATAGCCTTTTGAACTTCAGCTAGAGTTGGGGGACCTACTTCAATGTTCCATTCACACTGTCTGGGAATAGAGGGTAGTTGTAGAGTAGCTGAAGGCCAGCTAAACTGCTCCTTAAAGTGTTCCGCCCATCGTTCTAAGCGTCTGGACTGGGAGAAGATGAGAGTGTCGTCTTTTTCCGAAATGGTCTGACTTACACTTGATTTATTAATTCCAGTTTCTTTTATTAGTCTGTAGAGTTGTCTTGTGTTCCCTATAGCCGCCGCCTTTTCCATCTCTTTTGCTTTCGTTGCCCACCACTGCTCACGATCATTCCTTAGACTTTTGCTTAATCTAGATTTGATTTCTTTACGCTCTTCATCGTATTCAAAACCTGATGGGATGAGTTTGCGAGAATCTATCAGTGCAATAGACCTTGACGAAATCCATTGGTTTTTTGTAACCATTTGGTTTAAATCACTGGTAGATGTCACTGCTGTTTCCACAGCTGCTTGTATAACTTTCCAAGCAACATCTGGGTCAGTCTCGTTTTCAGAACTACTTAAGTGTGACCTCAGTTGTTCCTGGAACCTACTTTTGGCTTTCTCATTACTCAATTCGGTTCTAATGAGTCTTTTTTGTGTGGCTCTTTTGCGTCCAGTGAGGCGCAAGCAGATGCGTGCTCGTACTAGGGCATGATCAGAGTCCAAGCAGGTACCCCAGAATGAGCGACAATCTTCTATTGACCCTCTCCAACGATGACTGATGGCAATATGGTCTATTTGAGTCCATCGTTGGTTTGGTGCAGGGGGTCGCCATGTTAGACGATGTCTCTCCTTATGCTTAAAATTTGTGTTTGCTAAAAATAAACGATTGTCTGAGCACAGTTGCAGCAGACGATCACCATTATCTGTTCGCTGTGCCGGAATACTAAAATACCCACCTAAATGTCTTTCTGTTTTGTTTAAGCTACCTACCTGGGCATTAAAGTCACCTCCTACGAGTACTATGTCTGAACGTTTAGCTTACTCGGTGGTCCCAGGATATAGGAGCAATGTTTCGAAGACACCTATGATCAAATACTAGTAACCTACGAATATCCTCTACTCTTACTGGCCATGTTTCACTGCCATAAAGTAGGACGGAAAGAACTGCTGCGCAGTAAGCACGTCCTTTGGTTGATAGACGGATATCTCACCTACGCCATAAATGACGAAAGTTGGCAAAAGCTAGTCGAGCCTTCTGTATCTGTGCTGAGATTTCGTCACACACCGGACTACAAAAGATGATGAAACTTCCAAGTGAAGCGGTCGACGTGCTCAACTACTTCACTCCCTATCACTAGTTCGGGTGTCGATGCAACCCGACCCTGAAGCAACATTTTGCATTTCGAGGGGAGAATCGCATCCCGAACATGCTTGCATTTTCGCTTAAAGTGGTCAGAAGACTCTACATTGTGTTAGCGTCTTCACCAAATAGAACAATGTCATCGGCATATTCCAAGTCAAAAAGTGAATCTCCCGGTAGAAGTTTAACTGGAAATTTAGATGAGGAAAGTGTTATTTCTAAAGGTACGTCACCGACAAAGTTAAACAAGTTAAACTCGACCAGTTGTGTTCGAGTAGAGAGCCTGTGTACGGTTAATGTACTTCTTTGGTACTCCTTTCAGTGACAAACACTGCCATAGAACCTCAAGATCAACAGAGTCGAATGCCTGCTTAAGGTCGAGAAATACTACTGTTGTGGGACGTCTGAATGTGTGTCTATGTTCTAGGACCTGACGTAGGGTGAATATCTGGTTTATACAGCCACATCAATGTCAGAAACCAGCCTAGTCTTCTCTAGTCCGCTCTTCACGTACTTAAGTTAGGCGTCGAAGTATTATTAAAGCTAATATTTTGGACACCATATTAGTCAAACTGATTCCTCTATGATTGTCACAAAAGGACTTTTGTCCTTTCTTATAGACTGGCACAATCAGTGATTGAGACCAGTCAATCAAATTCTAAGGTGTACTTTATTCCTCTTACAATGTTTGAAATTGTTAAGCTCTTTAGGACTTTCCTCTTTGTGAGTAAGTGGGATCAGTGTTGGTCGTGACCATTTTTCATCGGAACCACAGAAGAATAGTTTTTCTGTTTTTCGTCTTAACGTTCAGTGTATACTTTCATCTTTATTTTGAATCCCCTTAAGTGTTTTTAGCTTTATGTTATTTTATATTTATGAATGTAAACTGATCTACCATGATCCCCATCAAAACAATTATATTATAATGAAAAATTAGGTAGGTAAGTTTAATCAGAATAGTTACTTAGTTTTGGAGTAATGGACTTACATCGCTGCTAATTACATGTATATTTTTGGTGAGTTTGCTCAATGCTAGTGAAATGTAATCCTTAAACTAAAGTGCTTAAAAGTACTGTATAATAATTGTTCATGAAGTGTTGAATTCGGTAGCAGAGTCGTGTGAGTAATCCTAACGTTTATCAGCTTGTGATTTGGCATATTACGTTGTTACTGACTGACTGACTGATATTACAGATCATGATTTAATGTATTACCATCTCGAAACATTTGCGTCGATAACTCGTCCTAGTAATTTTCATGCTACACACTGTTCACCATCGCTAGAACTCGACCAAAAGAAGCAGATAGCTAATCAGTGCACGGCATGAGGCTATAGAATAAATATTATTCATGTTTTGGTTATCTGTTGTTTCATATTTACTAATCAGATAAGGTCGTAAAGACTGAACATCTCTGTAGCTTGGGGCGTTATTGACATGACTCATAACAAATAGCGTTACTGATCCTTCCTTAGTTTTTTTTCCACGAACGGTACACAGTTGAACTGAACAAATATTATCTTGTGTTCCTACTAGAATAGTATCTTTTAACTTACATTACCCTTGTTTTAATGTATGACTTCACTATTTTAATGACGCTATCGTTTCCCATCACATAACATGCGTCTATTTGTGTATAAAAAATACGATTTTCGTTCTGTAAAAAGAGTGAAGTTATTAATATCATTCGATAGGAGTTTAAAAACAGGTGTGGTGACGGTGGAGTGCAATAAAGTCGTAAATATTCCCCACAGACTCTGTCTTCATCAAAAGACCAAGTTCTAATTCGAAAGTATCGATTTTTAAAAATTAAATCATTCTGGATATATTTTGGCGGAATCTGCGACTGCATTATCCGTTGTGATGGCCGAAAAGTAGTTCTATGGAGTTAATTCGGCCGTATATAATCTGAAGTAAAGGCCTAAAAACGTGATAGGATCCGGTTGTTACAGAAATTAGATTATGGTTTTCTAATGAGGTCTCTTATCTAGATTCCGATTCATCTATCCTGTTTTCATGTTCATAGGTTATATTAGTTTATATTTGCCTACCAATGTACAGATTTCATCACTTCACTTTTGTTCTCGTTGATGATATATTTTTTTCTCGTATTGGAGAAGAGGATAAGTTAACTATTAATAATGGGCTAGCCTCAATTGTCTCATGAATTCATCTATTAAATTATTAATAATGTATTTGTATTTCAATTTTTCAGGGATTATTCATGCATTAAAGCAATTAATTCATAGTGGATGGCTTAACAGCCGATGGAATTTAATCAGTGTTGATTGTGATCACTTCGCATCGGAACCATGGGAAAAAAATTTTGCTTGTTGTTATCGCAATGCTCAGTGTATACTTTCATCTTTATTTCGGATTCCTGAGTTTAGAAAACGTCTTTTTGGATGTGAGTATATATATCCAATGAAAATTTCTGACAGAACGATTAAACAAATATTGTGCTAAGATTAAATATATAAAAGATGTGAACCACATGCTGTATATAGCTTATTTTACTTTGGTTATAAAATGACCCTAAAAGCTATTCGGTGAAATAACTTTAACTGTATAATTGCAAATTAATTTGGTAATTTGAAGTAAATACGTTTGTAGCATGCATTCTGGTATAGTATGAACAACTAAACATACTGGAATATATGTACAAGATAAGAATTATTGTTTTGTTAACTGTTCGAGTGCACAAAAATAGGACTAAGGAAATAGCATTATTCTTATTTTGAAATATTAACACATTGGATTTCAAGTTTTTATTACTTGACAGTATAAACCACCATGATAATGCCAGTTACCAGGAATTTTGATGTTTGTTTATGTTTAACTTTGTATTTCAAATGCATGTATGTTCCTCAATATCCGTCCACTGCTATCTGATATTCGCACAAACCTGCTGATGCACATACTTAAAGGAGTCACGCTATTTACTTATAGGTATATTGGGACCTGTAGCTTAGCTGTTTCAGCTCTGAACTCATCAAATAAGTCATAAATTTTAATCTTGCTCCATTTACAAAAACTTAGCACTAGGATAGCTAAGTCCATGAGTTTGGACTTAATTATTTACCGGTATCTAAAATATTCCATACCTTATTTTACCTAATTTTATGGGCCTCGAAAGTGTTATGTTGTTGATTTTCTGCTCTGTAGCCGTGTCTGCAATGCCATCCATATGGAAACTACAAGCTCTTTTGGAGTCTGCTTGGTCTCTTGGTTTTGATCCACTTGGTGCATCCCAGATATCTTCAACGATCAATCCGAATAAAATTTCGTCTGGTGCCAATCCTACAGGTTCTGATGACATGATTTCTACAGATAGTCGTAATCTCGTTGGAATTGTAGACAGTACTGCATGTCTAGGTGCCACTGATATGGTTTCTCTTTTCGGATCGATAGGAATACGTTCGTCAATTATAGAATGCCGTGCCCCTTCCGGCCCTGGTGGAACTCATCCATAGTAAGGCTTCCATTTTCTTGAAATCTCATGATTGGTGATGCCACATCATTATTGTAATTTAATAATTACACTTGAAGTTTAATTGCAGTCCATAAAATTATTTTTGTTCACCTACTTAATGACAGGAATAACAGCTATAGGTGATTTATGGAAGTAAAATCTTTGGTATTCTGTAAATGTAATGAAAAGTGGAGATGTGCATACTATTAATTTCACATGTTTCATTTATTGTCATCGAAGGACAGAAAAGATTGCATCATAAATTGATTGGAGACTCTTATTATCAAATGAGGGTACGCAATAATCAAGGGGCAAGGAAGGGATATAAGGATGAAAATAATTTACAGGTCAGATAATTGTCCAATTGATAGATATGAAGAAAAAACGACAAACATAAAGGTCAGAATAATGAAACTGAATAGTAATCAACAAGGTGATAATAATAACTGATTACAGTTTAAAATTACATAACAATTTAAAAAACCATCTTATCAAATAACAATGAAGAAAAAAGAAAAAAAAAGCCAAAACATACCACTAAAGGGAATTAGCATCAAGGAAGGATGAGAGGTTGGACGAATCTATAGACATATTTTCCATATAACTATAAATACGAATGTACAGCTTAAGTAAATTATTTCGTCGAAAAGAAAATTTTCACCCCTGAATTATCTTTATTTTTCACTGGTTGAAATCATGAATCCATTGAAGCCGTCCAGTGCTTCCAGGTTTTCCATGGTGGTCTAGCTTCAATGGATTCATGATTTCAACCAGTGAACTTTCTAAAATCTCCACACAATCCCTTCTGATCTTTATTTTTGTTCAATTATACAATGGGTTATTTTAATTGTTGTCATCGCTTTAAATAAAAGCAGTTTCCGGTCTTGTCTGTCTAGATTCTCTGAAGGTTTAACAATATGAACTAACTCCTGTCGTTGTTTTGGAATATAAGTAGTGTAAACGAGAAATTAACATTCAATTACGAATCATTAAAAGTCGAAGGAAAGTTAGCTGTTTTTATTTATCTACTGCTATTGTATACCGCAAAATCCTTATATTGATTTATAAGTCTGGTTAAATGATATTTAAACGTAATTTTTGGGAGTTTAATTTTAATGTCTTTACAGAATTGGTCTACATCAGATGTAGGTAACTTCTTACTTTGTTAAGTCATCTAGGAAAATCATATTTTTCATTGAATATATTGCAGTATTTACCACTATCTCTTGTGTTCTGTTAATGTTTCCACTGCTAACATGAAACATTGACACTGTACGAAAACACAACCTGACTCACTTTTGGTTTTCACTTTTTTTCTACTATTACAGCCTCTTAACTCATATTTACTCTTATATTACCTCAGGTAATAGTCATGGAATATCGAATGAGGTAAATCTATATATAAAATTTACTTATATTTTTATTCATTCGTAGCTATAATTTTCATTTCCAAAAGCTTTTTTTCTGTGTACAACATAAAGTACATCGTGAACTAAAATAACGATAGAAAACTGATTTGAACTTTTTACGTGGATCATCATTTCGTAGGTTATGCTTTGAAATTTTGTTTGTAGATTCTCTTCATGTCGAAGAATTTTAAGAATAATTCAACAACTGTAATTTATAATTGTCAATCATGGAAAATACTTCGCTCCTCTTTACTCCATGGTATTATAAATTAAACTGGAATTACTTGACGACTCCCTAAGTGTTAAGCGACTGAAATTTTTGAGACAATTAACTAGCTAGAACAGCATAAAATATATCAAATTTTTTCTTTTTTTTCAAAATTTATAAAGATCGTGGACACAAAGATTGAGTAATAGTTGTGATAAAGGTTATTGCGCGGATAAAAGCCAAAATTAAACAAAAATGAGGTAAAGTAAATTATCCTTCAGCATTTAGAATAAGGTTAAAGATAAACACAACAGCAGATAGTTGTAACTTCGTGATATTAATGTCACCCAACTTATGTCAAGTAGTAGCACTATCTGAAAGATCACTCTATTATTAGATGTTATTAGCTGAAAATTTTCTCTATCTTTATAAGATTTTATGATACAAAAATTCCTCTTCATAAGAATCAAGTAACTTTCGTTTGTTGTTTACCTTCAAGTATCTCTATCGGTCTTTCCTTTCCTGTAGTTTGTTTCAGTTTTCTTTCCTTTTCAGCTTTTAGCGATTGAATATCTGCCTACAAAATATTGTCTCCATCTCACGTTAAAATTTTTTACGTAATCGCTCAAAATACATCAGCAGACAATACTAGAATATATGTGAGCACATTGTGTTTCATCTCATTAAGTTTAAGACAATCCCTCGTTTAGTGTATGGAGAACTGTTTTACATTAGATCTTACCTAGTCTTCATTTATGGGTTGCTCGGTCAAAAGGTTTGAAACACTAGGATGAACAACAAAAATATCGTTGTTGGTATCTACTTTTTATTTACTTACTTGGTTGCTGCTCTGGTGGCTTAAATACTACTTATCATCGTCAGCCGATAGCGCACGTCGATTTTATGATTCATTCGGCTCTGGGATATCCTCCCTATAGTACCTACATCGATATTTTCTGAAACTAACCCTTAAACAGTAACTTAGATCTTATAAAAACATGGGAAGCCATTGCTTTGCATCATTATCAAATTAATTACAACACTCTGACATCAAAACAAAATTTCTAGTCACTTATACCAGTAGTCACACAACAGCTTGATTGATTAGAGTTCGATCAGGACTAATGACTGGACAACAACGTTGGCACCTCACTTATCTTTAGAGTTTTATCAGCTCCGGTGCATTGGTGTCTGATGAAGTTTCAGTACAGATTCAGAAAGCTCGGTCGATTTTTGCCAACTTATATCACTTTTGGCGTCATTCTATCTAATAAAAGACTAGTTTACTGTTCCACAGTTCGTTTTGTTTTTCTTTATCTCTGGGATATGTGACCGTTAAAATAGGGATATTCACAATGTACTACTATTCGATTTTAAATGCCTTTAATGCATTACTCGCTTATGCTGAGATCATCGGACTAGTAATATTAAGGTTAAGTGGAGTATAAGATAAAGTTGTAATATCGGTTGAAGTCATAAATTTATATGACCTTATTTCACCTCTGATGTTGACCTCTGTACTTTTATAAAGTTTATGTAATCTGCCTAGATATTGAATTCTATTTTTGATGATTTTTATAATTCCTACATTTGACTCTGTGGATCGAGAGGTTCTGTGGCAGTGTCTGTCATTGAAAGGCGTACCTCAGAAGTACATAAACCTTGTGAAGGCTCTTTACTCGAACACTACTAGTCGGGTCAGAGCCTATGGCGAACTGTCATCTGCTTTTGCAACCTCAAGTGGTGTCCGTCAAGGCTGTCCACTTCTCCATTTTAGTTTGACTTCATCATAGACATCCTAATGGAAATAACGCTCTCATCGACTGAATTCTTGGGCCTTGATCTCTTACCAGGAGGTCTACTTATCGACTTAGAATACGCAGATGACATAGTCTTGTTTGGTAAAGACGCTGATAAAATACAGAGTTTTGCTAGCACTGAGCAACAATGCTAGAATGTTTGGGATGCGCTTCTCTCCCTCTACATGCAAATTGTTGCTTCAGGACTGGTCTGCGTCAACACCTGAACTAAGGATAGGGAGTGAAGTAGTCGAACGCGTCGACAACTCCACTTATCTTGGAAGTCTGATCAGCCCTAATGGTTTGGCATCTGACGAAATCTCTGCACGGATTCCGAGAGTTCGTTTAGCTTTTTCCAACCTACGTCACCTTTGGCGGAGAGATATGTGCCTGGTCTTACATTGTAGCTGACTGATTGACACACCGATGGTAGTGTAATACCTCTGTAGTTCTCACATTTGCTCAGTTCTCATTGCTTTGATATCTTGATGAGGTGTTCTTCTTTCAGTCAGTCAGTGGCATTTGTTATTCCTCCCAAATCTTCATGAATAGGACGTGGAGGATGTTTGCTGTTACTTCTATGTCTGGCTTCATATTGTTGTCTAATATTTGGTTTTCTGTTGTCATCGCATTCTTCCACATATTTTCGCTTATCAACTCTAACGCTTCTCTACTTGATTGTTTGCTGCTGTGTATTTGGCCTGTGAATTAGCTTTATCTGCACTTTTGTAATTGTTAATCCATTTTCTCGTTCTTACTCTCTTGAAACTTGTCCAGGGTTTCTATAGAGATCCATTCCTTATGGCAATGCTTTGTGATACTCAAAACCACATGACACACTGAAGCTAGTGCTTCTTTGATTCCTTTACAATTGTCCTCCATAGTACTTTCTTTCAGTAGATCTTGCAAGACTTGGGGCCTGATGTTGAAAGTGATCTTGAATTCGTTGAGTTTGTCAGTATGTCGAAGGAAGGCTGCATTGAACCATTGTATGACTGTTTCCCCAGACGTTCAGTGTTTCTTTAACTTTAATTTCAATTGGTAACCACAACTAGGTGGTGATCTGAAGCTATGTCAGCTCCTCTCCTGGTCCCCACGTCTTCCATTGACCTGATGGATTTTTTACTGATGTAAATATGATCGACCTGGTTCCGTGTAGTGTTAAACGGTGTGTGTGCATTTATGGGGGAATATTATGCAGCAAATAACCATTTTGTTGAATGCACATAAATTTATAAATCCCTCAACATTTTCTTCCCTTCTTCACAGTCCATGTTGTCCATTCCGACTTTCGCGTTTAGATCACCTATAAGGATGGTCAGGTCATTTCCTGATCACTTCGCTACAATCGATTGCAGACTCCTGTAAAACTGATCTTTATCACTGTCGTTACTATTATTGATGGGCGCATAACACTGGAAACATTCATTGTGATTCCCTCCTGCCTTGTTTTGAAAGATGCTGATGATCCTGGGTACATGAGATTCCTATCCCATAAGTACATAACGTGCTTCTTTGGAAAGCATCAGTGCAACTCCTTGAGTGTGCGAGTTATTTACTTTTTCGTGACGAACGTAGAGGACCATCTCTCCCGGATCTAAACTTTTCTGTCCAGCTTGGGTCTAATGGGTCCCACTGATTCCGAGCACCTCCAAGTTGTATCTCTTCATTTCCGTAGCTACTTGATTAGTCCGGCCGGCCTCTGACATTGTCCGAACATTTCATGTACCTAAATTAATTATTGCTCTGGTTGTTAGAAGCATCGGTCTCGTGACTTTCGAAGAATATCGGTTTTCACCATGAAGCATCATAATTTTTCTGAATAAAGATGTTTTAACTTTCAGGGCAGTTTAAATAGTTCAAATAGTTTATTGTAGTTAGAATTTTTTAGCAAGGTTGTTTTCTACGGAATGGGAATGCTGAACTCATGACCAACCTTTCTCCTTTACCCAGGATAGGCTGGATTCAGAAAAAAAGGAATCGCATACACGTTATGGCGGGTAGTTATATGAAAAAACAAGAGTTGTTTACAGTTTCTCCACCTAGTTACCATGAGAACAGTCCTTTAAATTGAGTACTTTATTGTAAATATTCAATGGTAGCAGTCTGTCTCATCGAGTAAACAACACAAATGAACAGTAGTTATTATCATACACAAACGGCCTTGGTATATTAATCAACAAGTTGTTTAAGGTTAAGGTCAAATATGAAACTAATTTTCGTATGTAAACAACTAGGCAACGAAAAATAATATATAAAACATACAGGTAGCTGACGCCCTTTTGTTTCTATTGGTAGGAAAAGGGATACAATTGAGACTATCAGGGTTACAGAGGCATATAAAGATAAAGCTCCAATTTCCGATACTTCTGGCATCATTACTTGAGCTACATAAGGTGTGACCATTGCACCCAATCGGGCAATCGAACTGAACATCCCGACAGCTACTGCACGAACAGTTGTAGGATAGACCTAAAAATAAAGATATGGGATGTGTTAGTATACAATAATGCGGTTTTAATCGATTAAACCCCAAGTATAAACTATTGAGAATCACTCGAAGTGTTTAGTTAGTAATAATAATTTAGAAAACAATAAATGAAATAATGTTACGGCAGTGTTATGCGGCAAGTTTTTAATGTCATTTAGAAGGTAAATAGAAAACGAAGCTGCTTATTCTCACCAAAAGAGAATCAAGTTAATGAACAAAATGAAATTGTCTGAATTAAAGAGAATTGTGCAAACCATAAAAATAAATAAAACAAATATTAGATTCCATAAAATTATATACGGTAGGAAAATGTGTATATGAATAAAAAAGGATGCTAGTAAGATTTAAAACAATGGTATTATAGGTGTAAGATGTCAAATCATTATATTGAGTGAAGATGCTTCTGAATTTCAATAAGTCTTACAATTAGAAAAAAACATTTATCGCGCTGTCTTTTCCTGAGATGGTCTCTCACGTTTACTGGTTAAAACATTCTTTCGTAAGAAATGAGATGGAGTGGTTAGCACAAATTACTTACGAATACTTACAAAACAAAAATTATCAGCAAATAACTCGCAACGAACTTATGTGTAAAAACTTACTTCCGTTGTGTAAACGTATGCACAACTGAATAAACCAGCAGACAAAGCACGCAAAACAAATAATAGAGCCGTTAAGGCTGATTTAGGCATACAAAGATAAAGTAACATAAACAGAACAGCTATAAGTCCATTCCACGTAGCCAAAGTAATCTTTCTTCCAGCTAAGTCGACCA